GGCGGACATGGCTGTCGCTTCTCCTGCTCCCGGCGACGAGTGCGACACGGAGTCGGATGCCCGAGCCTGCGGAAGTTGGTGCTGCTCAGCCGTGGAGGTGCGCTCAGCGGTGCCGCTCTCCTGCCTGCCCAGCTCGGATCTTTCCGGCTCCGGCTCCACGAGCTTTTTATCCAGTTGCGGGAGACCCGCCTCCTCCCGCCGCGAAACTTCTAGCGCCTTCGCGGCGAGCCCAGAGCCGCCCGGCCCGCCCGCTCCGGCTGACTCAGCCCGGGAGGCGCTGCGCTGACTCTGGGAGAAGGTTCGAGCGGAACAGGCCGTGCTGAGAGCGGAGGCCCCACCGGCGTCGGACTCAGAGCTGCAGAGAAAGTTCCAGCTTCTCCCGGCTTGTTCTAAGGGCTAGCCGTTGGGGCAGAAGAATGGTAAGGCGAAAACTTGTTCTCCCTCTGGTTGGTTGAAGAGGGTGGTTTTGAGTTCAGCGGCTCGAGAAAAACCGAAAGCATTAGAGCCATGGCCTCAAGGACAAGGGTTTAAAGTTTTATCATTTTAGTCTTGAAACATAAAGTCAGTATTTTCAGAATTGTGACTAAGAGGGCTGGCCAGATTTCTGATATAGGCTGGACCGAGGGTCAGAAATGATAAGAGACAGCGCTGTAAGCGTTGCTTGCGGAAGTAGCATTGGTGGTTCAGTGGTAGAATTCTCGCCTGCCACGCGGGAGGCCCGGGTTCGATTCCCGGCCAATGCAATCTCCTTTTTTGTTTCAGGGTACCCTCATTTTAACTTTTTTTTTCTTCTTCTTCTTTAATTCAACTTCTAAAGTGGATCTTCATTAAAAAAATTATTGGAGTGTAGTTGTTTTAAAATGTTTCTGCTGCTGTACAGCAAAGTGAATCACTTATACATTTACATGTATTCACATTTTTTAGATTCTTTTTCCATAAAGGTTAATTATAGAGTGTTGAGAAGAGTTACCTGTGCTTACGTTCTTTATTAGTAATCTTTTATATATGATAAGTGTGTATGTTGAGACTTTCTATTCTAGGATTTGTAACGTTGAGACAAACAAAATCAGTTAGTTGAGGACTGAGTTCTTTTGATTTTCCTTCCCTTACCAAGTCGCATTCCTGAGAAGAGCTGGAATCTGACGCTGTGGCTTGGACACCCAGGGGAGACCCAGCCTCGGAGGGAACACAGCACAGGGGGAAGAAGGGTGCAGATGAACTGTAGTGAGAATGTCCCCGTCATTGAATCTCCTCCCTGGGCTGGTGTCTCCGAGGAGCATCACCCCAAGGGGCCTGTTGAAAAGCCATCATGTGCGGTTTTTCTCTGAGGCCTGGACAGTTTCCAGCTGGAGCCCAGGATGCAAGTGGGGAGTAAATTCCTGGAGGCTGCAGTGCATCCTGTGCCTTGAGGCTAGGGGAGGAGATGCATTCACCGGTCTGTAAAGCCACATTTTTTTCCCATCAGCCCTATGGCCTTACAAATTGAGTCTTTGCCATGTCTCACTTTCTTTAATTCAGAATATCCCATTTTGAATTTTTTGGTGTTTCTTTTGGGTGTGGACTTCCAAAAAGCCCAAAGGAGGAGACTCTTCTGGAAACACGAGGTTGGAAATGGAAGAAAGAGAAGCAAATGTTCTCTGTAACCTCTCCATGAAGGAAGGAACTCTAGTTTCTTGCATGACAGATGGGGATAGTCACCACCATACTAAGAGCATAGTACCTCAGGGAAACATGGTACATTCTAACATTAAACTTCAGTAGCTTCAAATTTAATTATTCACTTGATACAAAGGAAACTACTAATTTTTAAAAAGAGGAAGTAAAAACCTTTGCTCCTTTAATTGGTCTTTTTCCCTCATATGGCTCAGAACACTTTGGAGTGCTTCAGTGCCTTTGAAGAGGGCAGAGGAAGTCAGGTGCAGATGTCAGTCCCAATTCTGTACTGGGTTTCTGGGCCAACCCTTTCCCAGTGTGGTGATGAGAAAGAGCTGGCAAAGTTTGCTGCTAGTATGCTCAGCTGTATTGGGAAGGTGATCAGTCCATGAAATAAAAGAATGTTTGAAGAAATGTGCAATGAGCTACTTCTGCAGTAAAAAATCAAACCATCCTCAAAAACAAGGAACCTATTTTATAACCCAAGAGGGAGAGAAGCTGTCAGCTTTGAATTCATTCTCTCTCAGTGTTTAGGCTGGCCAGGCCTGTGTGTCAAAGTCAGGATATTTTAGGCAAGGCCCTGCAAAAAAAGGTGCTCACTTGAGAAAGAAAGATGTGGCCTCGCCTGGGGTCTGTGCCCTGTAGTTCAGGGACTACATTGTCCAAGCTGCTCCAACTTTCTCTCCCAGTCCTCAGCAGCCTCAAAAGCCCTGCATATCTACCCCCAAGAGTTCCAAGTTCCAAGAGTTCTACAGCTTCTAAAACAAGCTGTAGAACAAAATATACAGTACGATCCAATTACAGTATGTACAGATCTGTGATATCAACTACTTGTACATCCTTGAGCAAATCATTTCAACCATCTGGCCTTCATTGCTTTCTCAGTTTTAAAATGAGGAGATTGCACTTCATCTTTTCTAAGACTTTCTAGCTGTAGAAGTCTCTGATTTTATCCAGGAGCAAAAAAGGATTCCTGTTTCCCCTAAACTATGTACCTGCTCTATACCTGAATAAATCATGCTTCTGTTGATAAGAAAAAGAGGAGTGATCTGCTATGTCTATCATACGGTGCCATATATACTTTATTCATTTTAACCCTTAATAACAGTACAGTAAGGAACCTTAGTGTGCTAGATATTGATGATGCTTAAAAATATATTTGAGTCTCTTTCCAGCCTCAAAAAAGGATTGCAATTTCATGCCTCTTGAGGTCAGGTCATACGACTTGTTTCGATTAATGAAATTTAAGTATGTGTGATATGTTACTTTTGGACAGAGGGCATTTAATTACTATCCTAATTGCTACCGTTCTCTTTGCCTTCCTTGGCAGTGTGTGGTAGTTGGTGTTAAAATGAAAGTATACTATAAACCCGAACCATCCCATGAGAGATAGCTTCCTTAGGAAGTCTTCCACATTTATAGCAGAAAATGAGTAATAAACCTTTGATGATTTATGCCACTAAGATTGTATTTTTACAGCATATGAGCTTAATATACTGGCTAGAGCTAGGCAAATGGGGTTATCCCATTTTTTTCCCAATGTGATTAGCCACAGAAATGTAACTCACCCACAGTTCTACCTTTTATTTCCTCCCTGCTCCAACTTAGACCTTATTTTTTTTTCAGTTACTATAGTAAAAGCAGTCTTATCTATCTATTTAAAAGGAAAGTGCCAGCCAAATTGTGTGCTCTGAAGACATCAGATTCTATAAGCATTTATCAAACATCTACTGTGTTCCAAAGACATTATGCTTCCATGTATGTTGTTACACTTCAACCTCACATGATATCCCTGGGGAGGGAGATAAAGATATTACTTCTTCACAGAAGAAGAGTCTAATTCATAGAGTAGTTAAATGAATTCTTCAAGACAAAGCACCTAGCAAATGGTAGAAATGAAACCCAAATCCAAGTTGTTCGCCTCTTTTTAGTATGCTTTCCACGGCTGCTGTACAGGCTTAGAGAGTCGATTCAATTAGAGGGAAGCAGGTCCAACTAATACACTCCTTTACAAGATGTGATGGGTGAAAGTAAAAAATGAGTTTAGACGGATAACATTCAAAGCCGAAATGCATGTACTAGTGGGATATTTTGGGTAGTATCTAATAGGGGGTTCAGTAGTACTGAATTGGACTTCTGCTTCTGGTAAGATGGAGTAGATGTACTTTTTAAAAGTCTCTGATTTTGAATGCTGAAGGATTTATTCATTCCATAAATATGTATTGAGGACCTTATCATGTGCCACACACTGACCTTGACTCTTAAGTATACAGTAGTGAACTTAAACAGACAAAGGCCCAGATCTCCTGGAGCATGTTTTTTTTCTTTTTTCTGGAGCATGTTTTAATGAGAAAGGGAGTAGTCAGTTGGTGGTACATACATGGGGAAAAAATACAGCAATAAACAACTGACTAAGTGAACATATTCAGTTGGACATGAGAACAGTGGGGAAAATAAAGCAGGAGAGCAGGATTAGGAGACAGTTAGAGGAGTGAGGTTAGGTTGAATGACCAAGGAGACCTCACTGATGAGGTGATATTTGAGTAAAGACCATGAAGAAGCCTGATGTGGATATCTGTAAGAACATTTCAGAAACAGTAAATAACATAAACCTGTAGCAGAAGTATAATTGAAGTGTCCAAGGAAGCAAAACAGAGCAGTAAATGAGGTCAGAGAGGCATTGAGGAGCAAGATCATGTAGTACCTTGTAGAACATTGCAAAGGCTTTAGCTATTACTCTAAATGCAAGGGGGAAGCTATTACATGGCTTCCAGAAAAGAAGTGACAGATATAACACACAGTGGCTGTTGTGAGAATAGACTGTTGGGTGACATGGTTGAGTGCAGGAAGACCATGCAGGAGGCTGTTGCAGTAATCCAAATAAGAGAGGATGGTGGCTTGGATCAAGATGCTGCCACATCCACCCCCCCTCCTGGGGCTGCACCATCCCTCCAGGCAGCTCCGGCCCCCACAACGAGACCATCTGCAGGCTGTGAGAAGTGGGAAGATTGTTGGATTTACTTTGAAAGAAGCACCAGGATTTACTGAGTTTCATTTATTTGAGGAGCCTCTGGTAAGGAGCTAGGAGAACACATTTGCTATGAGTCCATGTAGAGCTGGATGAGCTGGGACTGTGCCTTAGCCTTTGGGAAATCAGTGAAGGCAGGGCCTGTTACCGTCTACTTGATCTGGAGATCACAGGTCTTTTCTTTCCATGGAGGCTCCTTAGCCCAGGTTGTTGTCAAGGAGAGGCCAGGGAAGAGGAAAGTTATGGACTGAAGAGCGCTGCCACCACTGCTGTTAAACCATGGAATGAGGGGTCATTTGTCCTGAAGGTCTTGGCTCCATCAGACTTTGTAATTCCTCGGGTCTCCCATGGAGCTTTGAAGGTCTCTCCACACTGAAAAATACAGGCCTGTATCCACTGCAAAAAGGAGCCCCATCACCAGGCAGAAAGTGATTTGATGCCAAGGTGAAAAGATGAGTGGAATTGCTGGACCTAATCGGAGAGGCAGAGGAATGGGAAAAATGACAGTTGTTAAGACAGAAATTTGGAATAAACAGTCGTGTCCCTAGTGAGGAGTCTGCAAGGCAACCCAAGCCAAGGCCAGGAGCAGACAGCTACCCCAGGAAGTCTGCAGTGGGTCGCTTCATCTCTCTGCCTTCCCATCGGCATTTCCCAAAGGATAACCTCCAACACATCTGTTCTGCGGGACATTAAGAGAAGTTATAGAGGAAGAAGGGTTCTGTGGCTACCTGAGTTTAGCAAATGCCTTACTAGACTTAATTTAAAAGTTTTCTTTGAGACAGGGCTTCTTGAAGACTTTGGTGTGCATTATGAATATAAAAGGAGAGGAAAAGAATACATAGTGTGTTCTGCATTAATTTGACCACAGAACCCTTCATTCTGAAAGGGTTCTCAAAGAGTTATGTGATTGGGGAACAGCCTTTGGGGAACACTGAACTCGGGAATACACAGAGGACATCAACACATTTTCACTCACCACCTCCTCTGAACCCAGGACTGGGTACTCACTAATGAACATTAGGCTGGCATAAATTTGTGATACCATCTGAAAGTGCATGATATGAATTCCACAATGTACAACTTCTCAAGAACAGGCAGAAGTCTAGTTCTTTGTATGTAGAGAGAGATTCTCATGTCAACATGGCTGCAACAAGCTAAGATTTGATCCTAGGCTGAGAGGTTCAGTAGGGAAACACAGCAAGCATTAGACTTCAAGAGAGATATATCATAAAGTGCTTTGAATGAGATGCAAAAGAGGGAGAGTGGCAATGTCTGGTAGTTGGATATGGAGGATGAAAAGGTGGACTTTGTCCCCTGAGAGTTAAAACACCAAATGAATGACACCCATTTCTATAATCCCTGAGAAATGACCTGGAACAGAGCTTCACATTCACACAACCATCAGGTCAAACTAGGACTTTCAGGGTTCCTGTTTATGTCAAACAGGCGCTCCCAGGAAAACATTCTGGAGTCCAGAAAAGATTAGTAATCCCCTCACTACCCATCTTTGCAAGGTGTACATCTTGAACAACCTTCATTCCCATCTTGGACAGTGATGTTCACTGGCTGTGACGAGTGTGGCGTCTTCCCGGTAAACGCTGTGCAGTGGTACTTGCCACTGTGACTGAAGTTGGCACGTGGGATAGAGAAGTTGGAACGCAGGTAGGAAAATGTCTTGGATTTCCCATCCTGGTAGAATGTGATCTTATTCAGAGGGTGGTTTCTCCAGCTGTGGCACCTCAGCACGATGGGCTCCCCTTCCTGGAATACGAGGCTGGGGGTCTGGAGCAGCAGCCAGTCTGAAAGACACAGAGGGACCGCAGGACCCAGAAGGTCTTGACTCAGATCTTAGACCCAGACCATCCGGGGGCCAGTATGCGTGGAGGGCAGTTTAAATGTGGAATCACACACCCCTAGTCTCTAATTCTGGCTCCTTCATGTACGCAACCTGTGATCCTGGGTAAATAATGAATTCTTCTGGGCCTTAGTTTCCTCGTATGCGGAACTAGTCACAATAGTACCATTAGCTGTACTGTCTACAGTAGTTGCTGGCACACAGTAGGTGTTCAGATATGCTTGTCTTCTCGTTCCTATCCTGGGAGATGCCAGCTGCAGCCCTGTCTGGCCCAAGAGGCGTCTGCAGGAGGATACAGGGGACCCGGGAGTGAAACCCCTTCCCTAAGGGAGGGAGGGAGGGAGGGAGGAAAGGGAGAAGCCAGTCTGAGAGAGGACACAGCATGTGAGGGGGACACAGAAGAGACCTGTGTCCTTGGGGAAAGCCATGGGCATCCAACAAATATTAGCTTACTTAGTGCTTGTTAGTAAACGTGGAATTTCACTTCAGCAGGGACTTTGTCTCAAGCCAGCAGTGACATGGGTGGGCCATTAGCCAGCTGTGTATTTTTTCCCCCAGTTTTCATTCTTTTACTAAGGAAAAATATTTCATTTCTTTGTTGTGTAGGGAATAGAGGCTTAGGTAGCTACTTCTAATCCTGATCTCAGGCCACACCAACCTTTTTCCTGAAGCTGTAGGACAGAGGAGAGGTGAAATTGGAAAGAAAGGGTAGGAAACAACAGATACATTGGAAGGGAGCAGGGAGATAAGAAAAAATGACAACAGTCACATATGTGCCAGTCAACCACCCTTAGACCCTTCAGCAAATCATGTCGCCAACCAAGCTGTATTTATGGAAGCCACCTCAATAAGAAGCCCATGCACCTCAACTAGAGAGCAGCCCACATGCAGCAGCGAAGACACACAGCAGCCATAGGTAAATAAATAAATAAAAATTTAAAAGACAGGAGTCTCACCTCAGTTGCACAGAGAGAGGGCAGGGATTAGGGAAATGCTGGTTCTCACCAGAACCTCGTGTGGGAGGCAGTGGTATCTCCACTAGCAGGTGAGGAAACTGAGGCTCAAAGGTAAATGAAATCATCATGTTTAGATGGCTAGTAATTCCCTGTGCATTTGACTGTGCCATAAAAATGGAAAGATTTCTATGAATTAGAGATTTTCTTCTGCTTCTCTCACACCCAGATGCCTGTTGGTGGCCTTGTCACCTTCTTGCTCAATCAGCACCAAGATAAAGGAGCCCAACATATTCTGAGAAATCTCTTAGGAACTTCCACCTCACCACTCACGCTAAGCCAAGGAGGTGGGTTGAAAAGGGAAATGGGTGGACCAAAACCACTTCAAACAACTCACAGCCATGCTTTCCAGTAAGTAGGCAACTGCCTTTTCCTAAAAACCTCTGCCATGTAAGCAGATTCCATCTCCCCTTGTTCTCCCAGACTCTCCAGGGCCTTCCTCCACTGACCGGAAATCACATCCAGATGCACAGGGTCGCTGAGGCTGGTCTGCTCCCTCTGGCACCTGTAGGATCCACTGTCATTGCTGCCGGCCTGAAAGCTGTAGCTGGGCTGGTTCTGGGTGTGGATGGAGCTCCCGTTATGGAACCACATGGTGAGGTTGCCTTCGTAGAAGCTGGTCCCCTGGCACATCAGCGTCACACGATCCTCCCTGAGCACATTGATCCACGCAGGCTGGATGCTCACCACAGCTTTTGGGAGATCTGCCGAGGGGCAGAGAGAGGAGGCAGCATGAGGAAAAGGGGCCCCAAGGGCCTAAGCAGACCCCAAATCTCAGATGATGGAAAACTGTGGCCATGCTGGGGAGATCAAGAGAAAAACCCAACCCAGAACAGTTCTGCAACTGAAGGCAATTCCTCCAACTCATGTGGCCACACAGGGGCCCCCAGGAACCCAGATTCTCTCAGGGAGCTTGGCTCCTTCACCTCGGAGAAGGTGTGGGGTAGGGAAATGGGAGAGGGGGCAAGCAAACAGTCTAGAAACACAAACACACCTCACCCGAGGAGGTCTCCCCAGTTTCTTTTCTCTGTCTCTATTTCTCTTTCTCTCTCAAACTCACACTCACAGACATGCACACACACACTGCACATACATCCTTTGGGGAATCACTCCCCCACCCTCATACACTGAGGCATTTGGACACTAGTGGATAAACTGTCTTCCCAGCCGGATGAAGACAAGGGGGCCATCTGGTGGAGGTGCCAGGCTGAGAGTCAGAGGTCACGCTTCTCGTCTGACCTGTTTCATTCTTTGTCCTTGAGAGTAGACCTGTCCTGACACCCAAGAACAGAGGAGTCTCTGTGGCCTCAGAAGAATAAGAAAGAGTGAGCCAGGCTGGAAGACCAGTCTAGGGAGCCCTGGATTCAGTGACCCAGGGAGAGCCCTACCCCCTATCAGTCCTGGGTGGTGGAGAGGTTAGTGGTGCTGAGAAAGCAGTGCCCAGCAGTGTTCACCCCACCCAGCTGCAGCCAGTAATACTGCCTCCTCTTTCTGTCCAAGGGAACAGGCTCTGAAGCCTTCAGATACATGAAAAATGGGCAATTTATCAACCCATGGGGATAACCCAAGCAGATCATGTGATTCTGCATGGCCTGGGCTCGTGGTTTAGTTTGGAAAGAGGAAGCAATTGAGACAGAGGACAGTTATTTTCCGTGACAGAATCTGTGAGGTCTCGGACAGAAGCAGGAGGGCTGAGGCATCTGTGTCCCTTGGCTGCCCACCCCTGGTGGCTTCAGTGGGAGGATGGGAAGCAGGAAGGAGAAGGGTGCAGGGCTTCTTGTGGGTGCAATTCCTCTTTCCTGGCTCTACCTCGGTCCTGGGTTGCTGGTGCATCCAGAGTTCCTCTAGACAGGGTGCAGGGAGCAGAGAGAGAGGTTGGCTGAGGGACAGAAGGGATGTGGTGGAGCACTTACCAGGTTTCCCAGCAACAGGAGCTGTGAGAGAGAAAGCAAAGATCAGCCTGGTGTTTGCATATGATGATTCATCATTACAAATAATCACATTGTGAAAGGTTGTTGCTGAGCCATGAAAGATGCCAGGACTCTTGGCCTCTGGAGGAGAGGAATTCAATCCAGGTCAATGACGAGGCATTGCTCAGAGCTTTTGTGTAATAAAGTTTTATTAAAGTATAAAAGAGATAGAGAAGGCCACTCCTTAGACTGGTCTTTGGACATAGACATCAGAAGGGGGCAGAAAGAGTGCCACCTTGCTAGTTTTGAGCAAGAAGTTATATTCCTATTAGCAGGTTGCTAATTAGAGGAAGGGAATGTCTCAAAACTCAGAGAGTGGTACCAGGCCCCTTATCCACAACATACATTTTGAGGTAACATTGGCACAAGGTGAGTCGTCCCAGGCCATAAAACAATCAACATGAATCTTGAAGAAAGGCAGATTTCCAAACAAATACATAGTCTCATTAACATAGCTTAGGAGAACATTTCCATTGGTAAAACATACTGGTCTGTTGAGCTCTTGTGGGTTCTGCGTGTTAGGTAAAACCGACTTGAAGAAAGACAGAGTCTAAGGTAAATACATAGTTCATTAACATAGCTTAAGATAAACATTTCCATAAGAAAAACGCATTGGTTAGCTCAAGGTTTGAGAAAAGTTAAGTTTAGGTGGAACCAGGTGTTGTCATAGCAACACAGAATTTTAAGGGAAACCTCCTTTTAATTTTGTGTAGAGAAGGGGAATAAAATCTGACACTTGTAGTTTCCTCCTGCTGTTTAAGAGAGAGATAAAAAAAAAAAAATGTCTGACACTTGCAGCCTATTTCCTCCATTTGAGGCCCCAGCCTTCCTCCCTGTTACTCTCACTTGCAAACCCCCTTAACTCTCTCAAGAGTCTCTTGTGGTCCTTTAACATAATGTCTGCATTTCGATCACCTGTGTTGTTCATGCCTTAACTTGTTCAGCTGCATTAACAAAATTACCACAAAGGGGCCAGACTGATATCTTCATAAATTTACTGTCACCGTATTCAGCAAGACACTAAACTGCGATTCTGACACTTGAGTAAATTTGCTCTGATTATCTTGGTAGTGATACTGATCTTTTCCTCTCTTCATGCTTGCAGTGCAAGGAGGCATTCATTATGTCTCTGGTCCCACAACTGATGATGCTAGAGTTGCCTGGCTAACATATTCTCTGGTCTCCATCCCTGAATAACCCAGACCCTCAGGTGCTTTTCCCTGGGGGACTCTCCTTTCACACAAAGAGAATAGGTCCTGCTGCCTAAATTGGTAGGCACAGAGAATGGCCTGTGCTCCCCAATGCAATTTTTATTGCTTCCTCACACCTCTTATTGCTTAAGACAGCATCAACCCTCTTGCCTAAGATTTGGTGCCAGTGAAACACACATTTCTAAGAAAGGTAAACACCTTGGCCATTATTAGTCCTTCAAGTCTAGGTCACTGGATATTCCTCAGAGCTGGCTCAGCTGTGGGAGGTGGCAGATTACCAGGGACCTTGGTGCCCAGTGTTATTGGGCGAAATGTTTTCAAAAACCCTACTTCTGCCAATTTCATAATTTCCCAAGGCCAGCAAGGTTGTCAGAATGTGATTTTCATCAGCCTGCCTTCACCCTCCTGACTTTCCTGATGTGCTTCCCACTGCAGCCCTCATCCTCACCTCTGGTGGTAGAGAGGTTAGTGGTGCGGAGAAAGCAGTGCCCAGCAGTGTTCACCCCACCTAGCTGCAACCAGTGATCCCGCCTATTTCTGCAACAACCCAGGTGGCGGCAGCTGACTTAGAAAAGCAGACATGCCCACGGTCCTGCTCTGCTGTCCCTGCTGGGACCCCGACTCACCCAGGAAGAGCAGAGCTGTCCACAGTAGCATGTGGCCCCAAGGATGCCAGGGCGTGCAGTGAGCTCGGTTCCTCCTGGCAGCAAGGAAGGCTAGGAATGAGGGGATCCCCATCACCTCCTAGAGCGAGCAGGTCGCTCTGACAGCCCAGCATGGCAGACACTGGCTTCTCTCGAGGCTTGATAGATTCCACCCAGAGGGCAAATTCTGGAGTCCAAAAGAGGAAGTGAAAAGAAGTGTTGTTTTATCATTGGCTCCTCCCCTTCCACCCTCTTTCATCTAGAGAGTTCCCTCCCAGAAGATTCAGGGCTTTCAAGAATGAATCTGGCTCAGTCCCATCCAAATTCACAGAAAATGTAGGAACTGGGAAACAAATTCTCCTCGTCCTCTGGGGCCACAGCTGGGCTCAGCACCAGGAAGGAAGAGGGGAATGGTCACCCCTACTCAGCTCAGAACTCCCTGTCTGTCTCTGTCTCTTTGGAAAAGGCGATGGACGAGAGTGGGCCAGGGCACTACCCGTACTTCTAGATCCATTTAGAGGTACAGACACTGGCATCAGACTCCTCCTGAGACTGAGCAGAGGGGCTTGAGGCCACCTTCCCCATCATTTGCTTGCCTTCATTATCATAATCCAGACTCTGTTTTGGATTGTGGAACAAGGACAGAGTGTCAGGTTGTCAGGGTGGCAATAGAATGATCATTCCCATCCACTATCACCCCTTGTCTTTTTTGTGCTCATTCCTCCAACAAATATCTTCTGAGCAGCAGCTAGTGCCCTGGTTCTTTATCTTTCTCACCCTCATTCCCATCACTGTTCCCATCACTATGGCATGGTGAAAGAGCAGGGCTTTGGAACTGTATTAGTCTAATTTTGAATGACAGGTAGCTTCTCAGAACTACAGATTCCTCATCTGTATAAATGGAGATTAATATGTCTATCCTTCAAGCAGGATTTCTCAGCCTCAGTACTATTTACATTTGGGGCCAAATAATTCTCGATGTTAGGACCTGTCCCATACATTATAGGGTGTTTAGCAACATCCCTGACCTCTACCCACTAGATGCCAAGTGGCATCCCCTAATTGTGAAAATAGAAATGTCTCTAGACATTGACAAATCCGCTCTTAGGGGCAACATTTCCCCTGGCTGAGAACCACTACACTCAAAGTTTTTGAAAATTAAAAGATAATTTCTATGCTAGCACCATCCTTGGTGAATTGTGGGTATCCAATCAACACTAGTTCCCCTTTTTTGCTTTCTGTCGCCATCCTCATCACTGTTTGTTTACCCTCAACATCCCCAGAACAGAAGATGCTCTGGGATCTCTCTGGGGCCTTCTGCTGGGGCCTCTTTCCCAAATGCTTTCTCAGGAAATAAGCTGTAATATTCAAAGACATGATATTGTAAAATCTGTTTTTATACTCGGTGGTCTTCAGAAACTTCAACCATCCCTTGGCCCCATTGGCCAAGGCTTTACTACTGGCCCCATTCCACCCCACCTCCCACTCCCAATCTACCTCCAGCCCTTATCTGATTCTTAGGTTAAAAAGTTTCTTCAACCAGTGACAAGGCTCCAGTGAGCTGACATCAACACTTTAAAAGCTAATTTAGGAACAACTTGGTGGTCCAATGCTTAAGAATCCGCCTGCTAATGGAGTAAAAATGGGTTTGATTCCTCGTTCGGGAAGATTCCACATTCTGTGGAGCAGCTGTGCCTGTGCACCACAACTACTGAAGCCCACGTGCCCTAGTGCCCATGCTTTGCAGCTGGAGGAGGCACTGCAATGAGAAGCCCATGTACCACAATTAGAGAGTAGCCCCCACTCGCAGTAACCAGAGAAAACCCATGCACAGCAAGGAAGACCCAGAGCAGTCAAAAAAAAAAAAAGGAAAGAAACTAAAAATAGAGTTATCATATGATGCTGCAATCCCATTCCTGGGCTTGTATATATCCAGGGAAAACCATAATTCCAAAAGATATATGCACCCCAGTGTTGATTGCAGCACTGTTGACAGTAGCCAGAACATGAAAAGAAACTAAATGTCTATCATCAGAGGAATGCATAAAGAAATGGTACATATATACATTAGAGTATTATTCAGCCATGAAAAGGGATGAAATAATGCCATTTGTAGCAACATGGATGGTCCTAGAAATTGTCATATTGAGTGAAGTAAGGCAGACAAGGACACATATCATATGATATCACTTATATGAAGAATCTAAAAAAGAAATGAACGTATTTACAAAACAGAAACAGACTCACAGACTAAGAGAACTTATGGTTATGAGGTTATTGGGGAAAGGGTGGATGGGAGGGACAGCTGGGGAGTTTTGGGATTGATGTGTGCTCACTGCTATTTTCGGAATGAATGGCCAGCAGGAACCTGCTGTGTAGCGCAGGGAACTCTGCTCAATATTTTATGGCAACCTACATAGGAGGGACTTGGGCTCCAAAATCACTGTGGTTGGTGACTGCAGCCATGAAATTAAAAGATGCTTACTCCTTGGAAGGAAAGTTATAACCAACCTAGACAGCATATTAAAAAGCAGAGACATTACCTTGCCAACAAAGGTCCGTCTAGTCAAGGCTATTGTTTTTCCAGTAGTCATGTATGGATGTGAGAGTTGGACTGTGAAGAAAGCTGAGCGCCGAAGAATTGATGCTTTTGAACTGTGGTGTTGGAGAAGACTCTTGAGAGTCCCTTGGACTGCAAGGAGATCCAGCCAGTCCATCCTGAAGGAAATCAGTCCTGGGTGTTCATTGGAAGGACTCATGCTGAAGCTGAAACTCCAGTACTTTGGCCACCTCATGCGAAGAGTTTGACTCATTGGAAAAGACCCTGCTGCTGGGAGGGATTAGGGGCAGGAGGAGAAGAGGACGACAGAGGATGAGATGGCTGGATGGCATCACCGACTCGATGGACATGAGTTTGAGTAAACTCCAGGAGTTTGTGATGGACAGGGAGGCCTGGCGTGCTGCGGTTCATGGGGTCGCAGAGTCGGACACGACTGAGCGACTGAACTGAACATGGGAGGGAAGTTTGAGAAAGAATGAATGCGTGTGTGTGTGGCTGAACCACTTTGCTATACACCTGCGGCTGGCACAGCATTGTTGATCACCTATAGTCCAATATAAAGTAAAAAGTTAAAAAAAGAATGACATAACCCCTGAGAATATGACAGAAGATGGTTAGAACCAGCTAGGTCCAGGATGGTGGAAGTTTCGACTTCCAGCAGACCTTGAGCTGCATTATACACTCATTGTAATACATTAGCATGTGCTTAATGGCACATCTTCAAGTACCATGAGAGTTCTGAGGCCAACCATAAAAGGTCAGAAGGTCGACAGTGGCCCAATTCTTGGAAATCTCTGCTCCTTCCCTGAAATAGATGGAATAATTCTCCCACTCATTAGCTTAGGCAGTTACCCAGCCCACGAAAACTAACCACCATGCATATATGGGGGACTTTAGCCTTCTGAGATAGCCCACACTCTGTCTATGAAGTGTGTTTCTCCCAAGGCTGTTCTCACATTTTGAAATGGACTGCACTGGGAGAAATTGGAATGTATTGTTAGTCTCTCACTTATGTTCAACTCTTTGTGACCCCATTCTGCAGGGCAAGGATCCTGGAGTGGATTGCCATTTTCTTCTCCAGGGCATCTTCCTGACCCAGGGATCAAACCTGGGTCTCCCACATTGCAGGCAGATTCCTTCCCATCTGAGCCACCAGGGAATGTGGTGGTATGTGATCCCAATGAAAAGACCATGGGTTCAGGTCCCAGTCTGAGTTGCACAGTTTCACTACTACCTGCTACTCTCTTCCTTTACCAGCACTCAGTAAACCAGTTTGTTGCAGGAAGGGACATCCCTTCCAGGGTCCAAGAGTGGGCTCTTGTCTAACACTTGAAAATGAATTGTCCGAGCAGACACACATTTTGACAGAGCAAGAGACTTTATTGTGAAGGGGTGCCCGGCTGGGCAGAGAGCATCAGGGTAAGGGAACCCAGTGGCACACACATGGCTCAACAGAGATGAATTCCAGCAAGGAGGATTCTGGGAGGTTGGTAAGACATATGAACTGGTGTCTCCTATCTGCTTTTGACCTTTCCCGAATTCTGGTTGGTGGTAGCTTGTTAATTTTCCATTCCTTACCAGGACTTCCTGTTGTTAAGAGAATTCATGCAAAGTGGCTATTTTTGGGCCCAGCCAGGGCAGGCAGTATTGGTCAATGTTTCTCCTATCAAATCCTGTATCTGAATTGCCCTTTCATTCTGAAGAGATCGTAAGACTGTAAACAAAAGTCTGCCAAGTTTGAACTTATTTGACACCCCGTATCTACTCTTAAAGGAAGGCTGCCAAATGGGCCCCTCATATGGTTGATGAGACTCTGATAAACTGCTGTTAGTTATTCCCCTAAACAGCCAAGGCAAACTAAAATTAAAATTAATGGGCAACCTTAGAAATTCTGATGGATACTGGAGATACACTCTACTTGAAACCCCTCTTGCTTCAGAGCCTCCAGAAGGGATCCTGGATGAAGTGGCAGAGGACACTGAAGGGTGAAATTCTTACTGGAGTCAGGGTCTCCCAGATCTCTGTCCTATAAAGTTGGAAGCAAAGAAGGGTTTACAACCCCTCATGGATAAATTCCTAGGCATAGCCTCTTGGTGCCCTGCCAGTCCCCACATGACACTCCTGTTCTTCTAGTTGCTAAGCCAAATGGGGAATATAACATGGCACAAGACCTCAGACCAGTAAACAATGCAGTGTCTGCTATGTATCCCCTCGTGGCCAATCCTTATTACATATTAGCTGAAATCCCTGAGGACACTAAATGGTTTACTGTATACCATCTCAAGAATGCCTTCTCCTACATCTCACTTCATTCCTCATCACGATATCTGTTTGCCTTCGAGTGGACTAATCCTGACTCAGGCTGAACACAGTAATGTACCTGAACAGTATTGCCTCCAGGGTTTCAGGACAGTCCACACGTGTTTCCCCAGGCCCTGGGAAAGGAACTAAGGGAAATACACCTAGAAGAAGGTGTTATTCTACAGTACATAGATGATACTTTAACAGGTAATCCCTCCATGGAGGCCTCAGAT